ATAAATGGTGCACCAAAATCCCTATCTTTCTTTCGATTTGCGCGAAATTTGGCATAGCGTACTGAATTAAATCTGGAATGAATGATGTGTGATAAGTTTCAAATTTTAATATTTGTGATTAACCACTGTTTGGGCGCCATTTATTAAATCCTTCCGTACGATTTTTAAACTTTTTTTATTTTTGTAAAATCAATTTTCTATGTTTGGTACCCAACAAGATAAAGGTTACCACTTCAAATTTAATTATAACAACAAGTGTGGTCTAACTGTTGGGCGCCATTTATTAAATTTTCTATAATGGATACCCATGGTAGTATTAATTACGGCTAATAATAATACTTTTAACTGTTGGGCGCCATTTTTAAGATTCTTCTACAGATTTCTATTTTGTTTAACTCTATCTGCTGGGCGCCATTTTTATATTCTTCTGCAAATTTTTATTTTTTCCAGTAAAAATCAATTTTTTATAGTACGTTTACATTTAACCGGATTTCGTCAACCCAGTGGGTTTCAATTGTCAATTCCTCTGCATATATGTCAAATAAATCCTCATAAAGTTGGTTAACCCGGTAAAAATTTCTAATGTATATGCCGTTTTATAATGGATACCTGTTAACTACAACAGTTGGGCGCCACTTTTTAAAATTCATTTGTAGGTCGATTTTAACTTTTTTATTTTTGAAAAAAATCTATATTCTTTATTCCCCAACATCCATCTCCACATTCCTATTCTAATATTCACCGGTATTTATGTGATATTTTTAGAAGCAAAAAAAAATCAATTATGCCATTGCCAATTAAAAAAAATTGTCCCTTGTTCCAAAATCTGCTCAGACTAATAAAAACCTTATCAGTTTTATTGGAATGGCAACATATATTCCCAAAAATATAAATACAATAATGAAGAATATGCAGAAGCGTTTGCATCATCCTGTGATCAGTCATTAAACCTGAAGCCACCGACCAGAGACACTCAAAACGGACATACAAACAAAAATAGACTCACAAAAAATCCAAGAACCTTTGGATAGAACATTACGAAAACGTGAATGTAATATTTTTTGTCATTCTTTTTTCATTCAATCTCGATTATGTCAGTCACTCAGAAATCAATGGCATTTGATATTTTTCTTATCAACCAAAAACACAATTATTTCTGATTGCCAAAATTTTATGACCTGCTAGGGGAGCGACAACAACTAGTAAAACATTCATAATGACAAATTAATGTTTGGCCATATTTTAAATTTAGTCGAAAAGATCATCAAAAATGTGTGTTTGCTTTTGCGATACGATAACTCAGGAGACATGTTAGGTCAAGTTCAGCTTTCTGTTGTTGTTCTTTTATTCTAAATTCTAAAAATGTGCATCTGTTTCAGGTTTTGGCGGGATTTGTTTTTTCTGCCAACAAACATATTCTCAAAAAAAAAAAAAAATGATCAGGGTGTAGAGAGAGAGAAAGAAAGACAGAAAGTATTATCTCCGGAATTCTATTAACAGTCTATTAACAGTCCCAACTCTGCTACAATTTAAGTCAACTGTGAAGATTCCGATCAAAAGTCTTTCGATGTCTTTGGTATTTAGATTCCCATCTCTGGCTGTTTATGAAGAACTCCACAACGTCATAATCTGCAAAGTATCATCGGATGTCTCCCATCTTTGGTCGTTAATTATACTTTTTGCTCACCGTTCCAATAAGCAATAAGGATATCTGGTCGATCTGGACATCTATATAGACGCTTACGTCTTATGTATATATCTTGTTCTCTTAGAATACTCCCAACTTTGTTCGCCAGCTACCAGCTTCACTTACTGGGCCTCAAAATTTTTTTCCAATTCTTGAGTATCTGCTCGTCTACTAAGACTTCAGTAACACGTTTCGCTCCCTGTTCCTCGTTTCGCTTCCTGAAGTATCTATAATGAAATCTATATATAGCCGTTTATAACACTCTCTGGTCTCTATGAACACTATATGGCATTGATAATCAATATTGTCGCTTCTCTGGCCCTTAACTATTATTTTTTGTTCCTCCAACCGCCATTAATTTTTCATCCTTTTAGTACCGATGAAGACATTCATAATACTCCCTAAGGCTAAAATTTCCTGTTGTTCACAAAAACGTTCATCTTTGCAGGTCTCTAAATAATGCAGTCTCTGATCCTCTGGCCCCCTATATATGCTTCTTCCCCTATTCATTTATAGAGACTCCCATAGAGTCTCTCGTCTATAGGAGCTTTCAGGCCTCGTCTATAAAAGCTGAACTTTCACATTCCGTCGTATACGGAAAATTTTCTTGAAGACCTCGTCTATGAACAACGGTCTTTCTAATCTATCGAAAGTGGATTCTAAGGTGTTTTCTATAAAAGACGGCCTTTCAGGCTATAGAAGATGGGCTTTCCATCCTCATCGTCTATAGAAGGACGGAATTTCAGGCCTCTGTCTATAGAATGATGGCCTTTCAGATTTAGGTTATAGAAACCGACTTTTCGGACCACATCTATATATGATTTTTCAGGCCTCGTCAGTAGAATATGGCCAATCAGTAGAAACGGCCATAGATTCTCCAAATTTTTTCGAGATAGTTTATAGAAGTCAGGAAATCTTTCGAAGTTCGTATTTATAAGTCTTCGGCCACCTTAAAAGTCCGCATGACTTGCTGGATTTCAGCAGAGAAGAATATCTGGCAATTATCCTGAGCTGTAAAGCTAAACAAATATTTGAAGAATATTTTCTCCAGGGGAAGAACTTCTGACCCTAGTTTTATAAGGTTTTTGTTTTCAATTGATCTATGGAAGACTAACTTACCCTCAATTCATATATAAAAGTTCTCCTAGACCTCAATTTTTTTATAGAACACACGGGTAATTTGTTTCGATATGGAAGACTCTATGGCCCACATGTTATCTATAGGCGAGTCTCTGGCCTCCAGCTTGTCTATGGAAGACTGAAGGGGCTTCCGCTTGTCAATGGAAGACTGTTGGCATTCTGATTTTTTTTGGAAGAACCTCTGCCCTTCAGATCATCTATAAAAACCTTCTGAACCTATGATAGGATGTACAATTCTCCTTATACCTTATCCAGAAATTTTCAAAGACCTGAGCCTCTATTCATCTATAGAATACCTCAGCTTGCCTATAGAGGGCTCACGGGACCTCGGCTTGACTACAGAAGACTCTCTGACCCTCAGATCGCGTAAAGACATCTTACTGGCCTTTCGATAGTTTTGGAAGACACTCTACCCCTCCGATTATCTATAAAAACTTTCTGGTCTTAAATACTTCCTATACCTTCTGACCCTTCGGGACTTAAATACTCCCTATACCTTCTGACCCATCTAAACCTCAATAGAAGCCTTTAATTTGCTTCAGAGGTTTCCATGGCCCTTAGCTTTTATAGGCGAGTCTCTGGCCTCCAGCTTGTCTATGGAAGACTGAAGGGGTTCAGCTTGTCAATGGAAGACTGTTGGCATTCTGATTTTTTTGGAAGAACCTCTGCCCTTCAGATCATCTATAAAAACCTTCTGAACCTATGATAGGATGTACAATTCTCCTTAGATCTTATCCAGAAATTTTCAAAGACCTGAGCCTCTATTCATCTATAGAATACCTCAGCTTGCCTATAGAGGGCTCACGGGACCTCGGCTTGACTACAGAAGACTCTTTGACCCTGAGATCGCGTAAAGATATCTTACTGGCCTTTCGATAGTTTTGGAAGACACTCTACCCCTCCGATTATCTATAAAAACCTTCTGGACTTAAATACTCCCTATACCTTCTGACCCTTCGGGACTTAAATACTCCCTATACCTTCTGACCCATCTAAACCTCAATAGAAGCCTTTAATTTGGATATAGAAAGCTACCTGTCCATCAGCTTTAGAGGTTTCCATGGCCCTTAGCTTCCTTGAGTAGGAGTCACTGGACCTTGTCTATAGAAGACTTTGTGGTCCTAAGTTCGCGTACTCTCAAACCTTCTGATTGTTTTGGAAGGCATTATTCCCTTCTGTTCATCTACAGAAGGCTTCTTAAAATCGGATATAGAAGGCTCCCTTGACCGTGCGATTTCACTGACTTCTAAGAGCATCAATTCCTCCAAAGGGTACATCCCGACTCAATTTCCTCTCCGACCATTCAGGACCTCTAGAGATCACTTCTTAGCTTTCATGCACCCTAGTACTTCCATAGTAGATACACTAACCCCTTTGGTTTCTCAATAAAGGACTTCCTTTAGAAACAATTTCCATGTATACAATTTTTCTTCCCACCCAGCCCATTGTGCAAGTGGATCTATGACAGGTGAAACATTTTTTGTTTATTTTTTTCCATTCCGCCAAAGAAAGTCAAATACGACAAACAGTCTTATCCAGTTTTGTTTTTGTTTCATTGGAACAAGAATACGTTAATTGAATACAGAACAGAACATAATCACAGCCGCGGAGCGTGTACGGTGCCATAAATGCTACCACTAGCCAAGCGATTATTGTTGTGGTTCTTTTGGATCGTGCAATGCAAAATGATAATGAGTGGGTCGGGAGTGTGGTTCGTCTGGTTGTTTTTTATTGCATTGTATTTGTATTCACTTAACAATCTGCAATCAATTGTAGCCGGTCCGACGCCCCTTCCCCTCGCCCCACTCGCTCGAACCATAACAAATCGTTTGAAAGAGAGTAAGACCCTTTTGATATTTAGAGCAATGAGCTCGGACAGCAACACCAACAACAATAAAATACGCATAGTATTGATAATATACGGAAAACAGCATAGCTTTAGTAAAAGTTCGAAGCATTCTGAGATGTCATAACGTTCGGGTACCTTGAATCAAACGGTTGGATTTTCGAAAATTGAAAAAATAAATGAAGTAAAAAAATAATTAAAAGATTCAAAAATAACTACCAAAGAATACGAAGTGAAAGAAAGAAATTCCAAAACAAAGTGTAACCAAAATGTTGTCGCACAATGGTACTGCCACGAATGGCCACTTTAACAAAAGTGCACCAATTAAGCCATCAAAAAATACCAATGCCGGGAAACAACAACAACAGCAGCAGTCACCTAAAGAGGTGTCCGAGATACGTCTTAATTTAGCCAACGATTGGAAAGTTTTAAATTCCATCCATCAAATGTTGCTGGATGAGAAGGCATTTTGTGCCGATCCCAAGGAATGGCATGAGAAAATTGTGGATTTTGTCCAGCCGGAAGAATTGAAGGTAAGGTTTTACAGTGGGCAGAATGAGGGTGTAACAGACCATTACTCAGACCTCACAGCGGAATTAAGTGACCTCTTCCACAAATATTTTCCTAAGGACTATAAAATAACATTTCAAACTTTAGTTATTTATGTAAGCGTCATTTTCATGTGTAAGACTTCATTCTATGTGTTTCCGCTCAATGAAAGAACTACTCAGTAATGTATTCTGAATAATTCATCAAAAGAAAGTTCCCGCAAATCTCAACTCTATCCTGAGGAAAACAGCTCTTCTAAGAAAATGATCGTAATTCAACCAAAACATAATAGTTACTTATTACAAGCGTCTTTTGAAGCGCAAAACGTCATATAATATATTTCAATCCAAAGAACAGAATAAAGTAAACGCATTTCTAAGTGTTTTTCCCAAAGAGCTCTAGGTCCCAACTTGGTAAAATATCCCGAATAAATAGCTTACTAAAATTATTTGAAGTAATTGGGGTATTTATTTAATGAAGCGTCATTTTCAAGCATAAGACTTCATCATACATGTTTCCGCTCAATGAACGATCTACTCATAGAAGTATTTTGACGAATTCATCCAAACAAAGCCCCCTCAAATTTCAGCTCCTTCCTGGAGAAAATACCTTTTCAAATAAAATTATCGTAATTTAACCAAAACATAATGGTTACTTATTACAAGCGTCATTTTGAAGCGCAAAACGTCATTTAATGTATTTCAATCCAAAGAACAGATTAAAGTGAACACATTTCTAAGTAATTTTCCCAAACAGCTCTAGGACCCAACTCGACTCGATATTGGTAAAATATCCCGAATAAATATCTTACTAAGATTATTTGAAGTAATTGGAGTGTTTACTTAATGAAGCGTCATTTTCAAGCGTAAGACTTCGTTCTATCTGTTTCCACTCAATGAACGATCTACTCAGAGAAGTATTCCGGACAATTCATCCAAATAAGCTCCCCTCAAATCTCAACTCGTTCTAGGAGAAAAAAACTCTTAAAAATTCGTTTCCACTAATTTCCCCTAATCAAAATGGTTACTTATTTAATGCTTCATTTTGAAGCGCAAAACGCCATTTAATGTGTTTCATTTGCGAGAATAGAATAAAGTCCACCTATTTTCGCGTATTTTTCTCAAAGAACACTAGTTCCCAACTCCAAAAATTGGGAAAATCTTCCACTCAAATACTGTACAAAATAATTTGCAGTAGGAGCCCTTTAAATATATAGTTATTTACACAAAGCGGGTTTTTGAAGCGTATAACTTAAGTGTATGTGTTTGACCACAGAAAGAGAAATAATGTAGATCCATTACTGCTGATTTCTTGCACTAAGCTCAAGGATCTAACTCCATGTAAAATTAAGAAAATCTCCTCATTCAAATAATCGAAAAGTATTTTAAATTCTAGTAATTATAAGTGTAACTTATTATTGCGCCATTTTCAAGCGTAAGACCTCATTCTATACATTTCCACTCAATGAAAGGGCTACTCAGATATGTATTTCGGACAATTCATCCCAATAAGGTCCCACTAAATATCAACTCCTTCATGGAGAAAAGAGCTCTTCAAATAAAATTATCCGAACCTAATCAAAACATAATGGTTACTTATTCAAAGCGTCATTTTGAAGCGCAAAACGTCATTTTGAAACGCAAAACGTCATTTAACGTAATTCATCTCAGAGAGCAGAATAAAGTCCACCTAATTCTGTGTAATATTCCCAAAGTACTCGGAGACCCAACTCCACCCGATATTCCCAAAATCCCCACACAAATGATATACAAAGTAATTTGCCTTAATTCGAATGTTTATTTAATGAAGCGTAAATATCAAGCGTAAGACTTCATTCTAATTGTTCCAACTCAATGAAAGGACTACTCAGGAATGTGTTCCGGACAATTCATCCAAATAAGGTTCCCCTAAATATCAACTGCTTCCTGGAGAAAACTGCTCTTCAAAGAAAATGATTGCAATTTAACCAAAACATAATGGTTACTTATTCAAAGCGTCATTTTGAAGCGAAAAACGTCATTTAATGTGTTTCATCTCAAAGAGCAGAATAAAGTCCAACTAATTCTCTGTAATATTCCCAAAGAACTCTAGAACCCATCTCTACTTGATATTGACAAAATCTCCCACACAAATAATATACAAAGTTAATTGGCGTAATTCGAAAGTTTCTTTAATGAAGCGTGATTTTCGAGCGTAAAACTTCCTTCGATGTGTTTCCGCTCAATGAACGAACTACTCAAAGAAGTATTTTGAAGAGTTCATCCAAACAAAGACCCCTCAAATATCAAATTATTCCTTGTTAAAACAGCTCTTCAAATAAAATTTTGAAACTTAACAGAAACATAATGGTTACTTATTTCAAGCGTCATTTTGAAGCGCAAAACGTCATTTAATGTATTTCATCTCAGAGAACAGAATAGAGTCCACCTAATTCTGTGTAATATTTTCAAAGAACTCTAGGATCTAAATATCAAGCCCTTCTTGGAGAAAAAAAGCTCTTAAAAATCCGTTTCTTGTAATTTCCCCTTAACAGAATGGTTACTTACTTCAAGCGTCGTTTTGAAGCGTAAGACTTCGTTTTATGTGTTTCAACGCAGAGAGAAAAATAAAGTGCACCTATTTCTGTGTATTTTTCCCAAAGAGTATTAGGGCCCAACTCAAGTCGATATTGGCGAAATCTTCTCCACAAACAATGTTAAAAATAATTTACAGTAAGTGGCCTTATACTAAATGGTTACTCATTTTACGCATCGTTTTGAAGCTTAAGATGTTGTCGTATGTGTTTCTCCTCGTAGAGCAGAATAATGTCCACATATTTCTGCGCATTTTCCCCGCGAAATTCAATGACCTAGATCAATTCGATGTTGATAAAAAACTCATATTTAAGCAATCGACAAAAGATGCTTTAAATGTTAGTAACTAGAGTGGTTACTTACTTGGAGCGTTATTTTTAAGCGTAAGACCTATTTCTATTTGTTTCAACCTAGTGAGAGTATTATTCTGAGATACTTTCTGAATAACTCTTTCAAACAATTTGCTCTTCTATCTCAATTACTTTTCGGAGAAAACTTCCTATCAATACAAAGTATCCAAATTTCCCTTAAACGAACTGGTTATTACAATTCCCCTTAAACGTACTGGTTACTTATTCAAAGCGTTATTTTGAGGCGCAAAACGTCACTTTATGTGTTTTACCTTAAAGAGCCGAATGAAGTCCAACTATTTCTAGATATTTTTCCCAAAGAACTATATGACAAAAATCTACTTGATATTAGCAAAAACTTTCGTTGAAAAGGTGCACAAAAATGTTGATTTGATGTAGGTAGACAGGTAACTTATTTAAAACGTCTTTTTGAAGCGTAAGACTTGATTCTACATAGTTCATTGCAGATAACGGAATAAAGTGAAGACGTTTCTGAGTATAATTCCCAAAGGACTAATTTATACTCCTTCTTTATGAAAATCCTCATTTAAAGGCAATGATGAGATATTTTTGTAATTTCACTAAACCAGAATGGCAACTTCATTGGAGCGGCGATTTGAAGCGTAAGACTGCATTTTATGGGCTTCATGTCTGAGTGGAGAATAAAGATAATCCTTTTCTGAGTATTTTATCCATAGGACAAAAGCGCATATCTGTACTCCTTTTTAATGAAAATCCCCATTCAAAAGAAAAATCAAAGCAGTTTTGTAATTTCACGTAAACATAATGGTTACTTTAATGGAGTGGCATTTTGAAGCGTAAAAATTCATTCTACGAGTTTTATCCGTGAGAGTTAGATGAAGGTAATCCATTTCTGAGTATTTTGTCTAAAGGACATTAGCTTCTAACTCTAATCATTGACTTTGAAAATTCCTATTTAGGAATAATGTCGAAAGATTTTTGTAGATACAATTAAACAGAATGGTTACTTCATTTAGGCGCCGTTTCCAAACGTAAGGCATCATTCTACGCTTTGGAAGTCTGAGAGGGGAATGAAGGTAACACATTTTTGAGTATTTTACCCAAGTATCAATAAAAGTCAACACAACTCTACGAAGGCGAAAAATCACATTCAAAAACCATGTTGAGATCTCTTTGCAATTCCCATGAAACCGAATACATAGTTACTTCTTTGAAGCGCCATTTAAAGCGTGAGATTTCTCTTTATGGGTTCCTTGTCCGAGAGTGGAATGAAGAAAACGTATTTTTGAGTACTTTTTCCAACAGAATATATAACCTATCACTACTTCTTGCTTGGGAAATATATTCTATTAATAATAATCCCGAAGGAATTGCCTAATTTTTTCTTAACAAAATGGTTACTTAATTGGAACGCCTTTTTGAAGTCCAATACTTTATTTTATGAATTTCTCGCCTGAGGATAGAATAAATATAATTAGTTTCAGAGTAGAAATTACGCTTGTGGGTTATATCACCTGAATCTACTCCTTTTTAAAGAACTGTCCCATTACAAATATTGCCGATCGAATTTCCCAATATGCCCAAACGAGAATGGTTACTTAATTGGAGCGCCTTTAGTAAGCGGAAGACTTCATTTTATGGGGTTGTTCTCCAAATATGGAGTAAAGCCAACTAGTTTTCGAGTATTTTCTCCAAAGGACTAGAATGACTATATGTACTCCTTGTCAGAAAAAATCATCCATTAAAAGTAATGCCGAACGAATTTCCTTATTTGTTCTTAATAGAATGGTTACTTCATTGGATCGCCTTTGACAAGCGCAAGACTTCATCCTGTGGGGTTCTTCTCCGAGGACGGAATGAACACAACTCACTTCCGTATATTTTCTCCAAAGGAATGTATCATCTATCTTTAATCCTTGTTTAAAAAAATTTTCATTAAAAATAATGTTAAAGGAAATTCCCAATCTGTCTTAAACATAATGATTACTTAATTGGAGCGCTTTTTTTCAAGCGCCAGACTTCAGTTTATGGGATACTTCTCTGAGGACAGAATAAAGCCAACTATGTTTCGAGTATTTT